AAGGCTGATTTACACGGCACGATTGTCTCGTGCGATTTGTAGTATACGACTTGAATCGCGCAGTGTAAATGCCCCTACGACTTGTCTACAACAGTCGTACGCAACCTACGACTTGTAGTAGGATTTTGAACCACTGCTTAAAATCCTACGACTTGTAGTAGGAAATTTCATATACTACAAGTCGCGCGTGACAAGTCGTACCGTGTAAATCAGCCTTTAAGGGAGGGGTGCAGGCCACACGAGGAGTTSTCMAAGAAATGGCCATGAAGAAGATACAAAATGGTAAATGGTGATCACCACGTRCACCCACCAKCTGAATTCGCMATGGGATTTGATGGTTAGAATATATTTTCTTAAAGGGACACTGTCAATGGCACGCATACGCGAGTAAACTTGAAAACATTAGGCTAGTGTTTTCAAGTTTATGACTCCAAGTTGTCGCGACATAAATCAGATCGTAAACGTAAACAGATCTAGAATATTCCAAAGTGTGTCAAAAGCACCACAAAATGATTTACCTCGAAGGTAATACTTTTAAAGGTATTTTAGGATTTCATGTTTCCCATGTAGAACAATAGTGAAAAAATAAAGTACAACGATTGGTATTCTAAGTAGGAACTGTTCAACACTCCTAGTTTAATAAACAATTTAAAAACGATTTTGGAAAAGCTTGCGTTTAATTTGCAGAGCTTAAACAACAAAAACCGAGTTGTATAAACCAAGCATAATTCAAAACACAATGTGATCGTTTGTCAAAAGAACCCCTCGAGAACACATGGAGTAAAATATGGTTCCTGRCATTATTGCCCTTCAATAGATGATAGGCTCCTTAGATCTGCTTGCACCATTGAGAAGACGTTATGACCTYMAAAATAGGTTCTTTATTTCCAAARGTCCACAGRAAATCCACTAATATTTATAAATACAACTTATATCAAAACGTACACACAGCACTTAATTGCTGTAAACTGAAGCCAGGTACACAGGAATCCCAGTAGTGTCATCATTCATCAGTTCCAAATAAAGGCAGGCGAGAAGCGTTTAMCCTGCGTCGCCAAAACGAGATAGTGAATCCGATTATGCGTAAAGAAAGTCGCATCGTTAGCRAATGTRGCTCTTAGTTTTTGGTATACAATRAACTTYCCATCCTTGTACTTGTAAATCAACGATTTCTTGTCAGCCGACTGAGAAACAGCTAKGAACAGTTCATYATTGATCTTGAATGGTCTACAGGCCGACGCCCCACGAGTTTTWATCGATAATGACTTGCTAAAAATAAATCGAGAYAATCCCCTTTCCCATATTAATAAGGGTGAAGTGATATTCATCTTTGCTCTGTATCCAGTTTGACGCTGTGCAATAAGCAAAGCGATTTTCCCATTATCTAGGGTTAAAGTTTCCGCAGACATGGCGTACTCAATCCTAGGAATCCTCTGATGAATAGAAAACTTTTTCCCACTCCACTTTAAAACTAAGGATCTCTTTCTACCGCCCCAAACTGCGCATGYCAGATAAAAATCACYGCTGCCCGGWGTGAACAGWGAACAGTCCGTGACATATGCTCTTTTGTCTATTGGAATGGCTTGGAGCTTTRCAAAGCGATTTCTTCKCCAGGTGAAAATMGAAAGTGCTTGATACCCTTGAATTACCAGCAAYTTAAAWASCTTTATTTSKATAAAAGTAGTAGCWAGTGCCATTCCTCCATCGAGTTCTTGTAAAGTATCAAAGTATCCATCGAATCGGGTAAARATTACAGTTTTTGGAGCGCGCTTCCCGTAGTTTGAGCGCGCGAAATATGGTATAGCAATGTAATGATAAGAGCCTATTTGAAAATAGCTTGCTCTTCCAGGACCATTGTATGTGGTCTTGAGCGACTGATAGAATGTAAAAGCGTTGTCTTCAAGACGGTATATCTGGGTTCCAGATTGATATCGCCTGAATGCTCGAAGTCTGTTAAATGCAAGGTATTGTTGTCCTTCAATTACAAAGCTTACCACAGTAGTTGATCCTAGCAAAGTCTCGATGAACTGGAACCGAAGAAATGCTCCTGAGAATAGAAAATAACTATTAATGAAATGCTATACTTCTATGAAACAACTGTGAGAAAGTGTAATGACGTTAAAGGTGTTGCCGGGCCCTTTCTTAAGTCCCCCTTACACTGGCGATTTTTGCGCTGATTTTTGTGGTCATTTTGATCCTAKAYAATAATGCTGAAGAATTAACTTRTATACTTTTATTCAGCACTCTGAGATGAGCTAACTAAACGTCTCCTCAGAAGGATAAGACAAAATCTATTATATTTCTGAAAATATTCCGAAAAATCGCAGCAAAAATCGCTAGTGTAAACGGGCATTTGATCACTCMCTAGATGACTACTGGTGCGAGGCCYCCTTGTTTCAGATGGCCAATATCATCCAACACATTTTCTCCCCTTGAAGACTGATATGTTAGTTTTTCTATCTTGTCCACATATGGAATATGCCTTTATCTTTCTTACCCTGGACGCATGGGCTTTTCTAATTTTCAATACCTCGAGCAGACCATGCAGTTGATGCGTATTATAACCTCGTTTTGGCCCGGTTCATATAGGTCGAGCTATCGTCGTGCCGAACTTAATGCACAAAAAGATCTCTATTTCGATAATAATGATGGATGTAAATTGCGTGTTATCGKATTTTTTTCTTATGCTTTTAACTGCATTTGATTCGGCGTATTAATAAACACCGTACCAAATTTGGGTCGACACAAATTGACTTTTTGGTTCGGCGCGACGATAGCACGACGTATGAACCGGGCCTCATCGACCAACTGACTGACGGACAGACAGACGCAAAMAATATAACTGACTGGCTTGGTCCTTACCTTGYACGCATGGGCAAATCCTTTTCGTATTCTCAACTCCTCGAGCAGAACAGTTGATGTGTTCCGGGATCCCTTTGTATCCAATGCACTCATCATAGCTCTCGAAATCTAGGACAGTGTAGCTAGGACTATCCGGCGACTTGTAAGACGTTTTACTATCATCAGGGCCACACGTGATACCCATACTTWGAAGTATTGAGTCGGCSGAGACTGGTGAAAAGCCGTGTCCAGTGCCAGCGCAGATTTTTCGCTGTTTTGCACAGATTTGATCACATGAATGTCCGCCTGTGGGATCGACGAAGTATTCAATTCCTGAAGGAAAAGAGAAAKTGRCTTCATGAAACCGTGGAATAAATAAACKTCGACTACCGGAYTTTGTTTCACGGATTTGAAAAATAAGAAACATAAGAAATTAGAAACGTTTTAATGTTTTTATGACTCTGTTTCTATCCCTCCCCTATTCCCAAGACAGCCCTTAAGAAAGAATAACGTTGTAACACTCACCCAGACAGCATATAATCAAATCCATAGCAACAAGGTACTGTACCAAAACGTTCATATTGGGGAGCGGACCTGAGAAAAGAATTCCGATACTTGTTTATTTACTTATTTTTATACATATATTTATTATTTGCTTATTACTTTTTATCTATTTATTTATTTTTTTCCTTTCATTATCTGTTACAAAAAACAAAAATTCTGATATCATTATATCTGGTCCATAATGAAAAAAAAATTTCTGAACTTCGCTCTTTTCTCGCGCTTATTAAGATTCCACGTTAATCAAATTCGTTGAAATTAAGTTTATTTAAAGTTATTCAAAAACATATGCTTTAGTTTGATAACAAATGAAAGGTTTAACGTTTTATATCAGCAACCTTAACTTAAATTTTTCCATGCGTCTGTTAATAGATACAAAAATGACGTCAAAATGCGATGAGAACGAAAAAAACTCGAGTCCAGTAGCGTGAGGCCTAGTCCGGGACCTAAAATTGCCTAAAATCGACTAAAATCGCCCAAAATCGCACTAAATCGCCTTAGATTTAGATGGGTTTTTGGTGATTTTTGCTTAAATCGATTGAAATCGCTTAAAATCGTCTACAATCACCCAAAATTACGGCGATTTTAAGTCCCGGACTAGGCCTAGCGTAATTGTTGCTCTCATCACATTCTGACGTCTTCTGTGCATATATTGTGCACTTCCTTTTTTCTTTTTATCAATAAACTTCAGATATTTTTTATCCTAGAGCGTTTAACAGTTTAAATCTTTATCTTTGTCTCTTTAGTCCATAAACGGTTTCGTGAGAATCTCCTGAGCTTAATGACCCCATAAGAAGGGCCAACGAGTTCCTGGGAGAAATATATCGTTTCTTATGCTATAGTCAAATGAATAATAATAACTTTAATCCTCAAAATATCAAATTGATACATAGGATACAAACGTTAACGATATACCTAATAAGATGTTAAAAAACAAAATTACAATCATAAAGGAATAATTATATATTAATTACATTCATCAGTCATTATTATATACTTAAAACTTCAAAACAATATTTGGAAAATAATTTTGTAATAGTTTCAGATGTAATTCACAAATGGTTGCCAGTAAGATTATAGTACAATGTTCAGAAATTACAATTTTTCCAAGGAGAGGAAAAGATTCCTAACATTTTTTCCAGGAATCTCAAAATTTCTCAACTTAAAAAAGAAAAAAGGCTAAAAGATCTATGTGAAGGATCTACAATAGTAGTAACTAGGTTTAACAATTGCATGCTTTTCAGATARAATCCAACTTTGAAATCCCATTCACAGGAAAATATTCGTATGCTAAAAGTTATATTTAGAAGAGCAGACGTTGTCGTCTCTTGACCCCATCACACTTTACCCCCTTCTATCGCTTGGGTTTCTTTGCCAATTACCCTATGGAAACATTATACGAAATTTGATACTAATTGGTTTAAAACCACAAATTTTATTTTCCTGGTCTACTGTGTTTATTGAGATGAAACCGCAAAGAAAAAATAATCGAATTGTTCTAGCATTTGTGAAAAGGAAGTGATGGTGAAAACCTGCAAATTTGACATGAATAGACATAGGTKTATTAGATTTTCTATCAGACAAGATGCAATCAAAGACTGTTAAGTAAATATATACGCTGATAATGACAATCGGCGATACTACGGTTAAAATCCAATATCAATTTCACGGTTTGTTTGTTTGATAACTCTATTATCTTTTCCTTCACGTTTTTATTCACCGAGAAACTCTTTTAATAGAWTCACTTTAAGAAATCCTTGAAAATCCCCCTCGGCATTTGGTTAAAAGTTCATTCAGAAGGCTTCGTCGACAGCGGCTTATAACATATTTAGTTACATAGACTAAAAAGCATACGAATGGCATTTATAGCTTACCTTAGCCTTGCACCAGTTTTCTGTATATTTGACCAAAGGACTAGACTGGAAAACKCCACAGAGACAGAATGGAGAAGCTCTTCATTCACGTATTTTTGTTCGCTCTCGTCTTACAAACAGTTGGATGCGGTATAAGACCAGGGTCAAGAGAACTCTTGTGTCCAGTTCTCTGTCGCACAGAGAAGCGGTCCTGCTTGAAGAAATAGACAAGCAAATACAGAAAACGAAAAAAGGCAAATTAAACAAACCATCTATCAATAAACCATCTAATCAAACAATCACTCAATCAATTAATCAATCATCAATCACTGAATCAATCAAAAAGCTATTCAATCAACCAACATAACAAAAACAAGTCAGTCGGTCAATATTCATCAATCAATCAATCAATCAGTCAACCAAGCAAGCAACCAATCAATCAATGACTACGAATTGATCAACAAATAATTCAATCAATTAATCCATCAATCAATAATTTAACCAATCAATCAATTGATGGACACACCAATCAATCAATCAATCAATCAATCAATCAATCAATCAGCAAATCAATCAACCAATTGACCAATAGTTCAATCAGAAAATAGCAAATGTTATCTAAAAGTCATCACTTCAAAATCACATGATCTGTTTATTGCTTTATACAATAGAATAGATTACACTATGTATAAAATACTTATGGCTGTTGCCATGAGTATAATGTGCAGTTTGCTAAGCTGTTGCTATGGCGTCCGAGGTAACCATGGCAACTGCTACGAGGTAACGTTTACACTAGCCTAATCTTTTTGCTCTGACTTTCTTCATCCTCTTCGTCTTCTTCTTCCTCGACATCTTGGAAAATGGTTTCTGGCTGGGTTCTGAATGAAGGAATGACCAAACAAATGAATAGTTATTGGAACATACATAGGAACAATAAGAGATAAGAGAACAAGAGCAAAAAAGTATTTGTTTTTATTAAAAGCAGAAATAAAATCCTTGAGTTTTGACATTTTTTTCTAACACCAAGATAGATTCTTTGCCATTTTTATAACAAAGTACAATGGGAGTCGTAGTCCTCGCACTTTTTACAGCCACTAAAAATCTCTTTTCTTTGTAGAAAGGGCAAAACTTCCTAAATATGTGAAAATTAAAAGCAGAAAACAGCTTAGGGGAGCTGTTATAGCGGACATGAAAAGGTCCAAGGTAAACTTGAATTTTGTTGGTGTCGGTGTTTTTGAAGGAACAGTTGTGTAAAAAGATAAATAAAAAATATAAGTAAAATAGATTACTGATGTTTTGGACGTTAATTCTTCGTCGGAGTAAAAAGACAACTCTTTTTTTTACGGTGTTAAATTTATCTTTTTGCACAAAATGGTGTCTTTGCATACTAACTATTGCGTTACTTATCGCGCCACTTACTTTGTGTAGGCTGGCGATACCCAGTACGGATCTGACTTTGCTGCCTGAACAAATCAAATCAAACATATCAAATAAAGATAACAATTATGTCACGGAAGTAACACAACGAGATGTATCACACTGATGTCACGCAAGAGTTTGTAAGGTTCTTGTGACTGCAGGAATATTATAAATCATGTTACTTTTACTTAACAAATAGCTAGTTAACCAAGCGGATAAGATCTTGCAAAACAATTAATGCGCATCTGTTAAAAGAAGCGCGCCATTTAAACTGTCATGGCTTACTGCGAGAAAAAAATTGGGCGACAGTCACGCACGTTGTATAGGGTCGAATGCTTACGTAGCGTGACGCTAATAAAATATTTAGTTTTGTCCATGACGGAACGAAGGATGTTACAAGAATATCAGTGAACGTACCTCGGCATGTTTGAGGATGGCTTCTCGTGGATGTGAGTCGTCTGCTTTCTCGAGGGCAAGATTCTTGACAACAAAGGATGATAACGACATACCAGAGGTAACGCGTCCACCTTTGCCTGGAGAAAAGAATCAAAGTCACAAACGGCATGACAGTAGCAACTTACACAGACATTATCTCGCGCAAAGCATGACGGATTTTGTTATTGCTCTTTTTACATCACTTTGAATAACCCTGAAAATCTGTTTTCCCATTTTCTCTGAAAAATGTAAGTAGTTTTGCCGTTTCTGTAAAATAAACTGACAAAAACTGATTGGTAGGATTATTTTGGCAAAAAAGGTAACGATGTGAGCTACATTTACCATCATGCTTTGATCTGCAAAATAGAGTCTGTATGTAGTCAAAATAGAGTCTGTATGTACAACTTCGTTCCTATGTTTTCTCGGCTCGTTGTTTTTCAAAATGGCGTCGCTAGTCTCCGCCATCTTGAAAAGTGAGCACCGAATTACTAAATTATAACTTATATTAAACTCATCAGCACAGATGAGGATGGGCAGAGGTGCCGAGCCAGGCGGTCATGCCGCAGACCAACCTGACAGGAGGTGTCCATGGTAACGACGCACGGACCACCACCTGGCACCTGTCACACTGTAAACAGTGGAATTTATACTTACCAACCCAAGCGGAGGGAGGGAGGGAATTTTCACGCACACGCTTCNCAAATCAATCAACCAATTGACCAATAGTTCAATCAGAAAATAGCAAATGTTATCTAAAAGTCATCACTTCAAAATCACATGATCTGTTTATTGCTTTATACAATAGAATAGATTACATTATGTATAAAATACTTATGGCTTTTGCCATGATTATAAGGTGGATATTACTAAGCTGTTGCTATGGCGCCCGAGGTAACCATGGCAAATGCTCCGAGGTAGCGTTTACACTAGCCTAATCTTTTTGCTCTGACTTTCTTCATCCTCTTCGTCTTCTTCTTCCTCGACATCTTGGAAAATGGTTTCTGGTTGGGTTCTGAATGAAGGAGCGACCAAACAAATAAATAGTTATTGGAAAATACATAGGATAAATAATAGATAAGAGAACAAGAGAAAAAAAGTATTTGTTTTTATTAAAAGCAGAAATAAAATCCTTGATTTTTGACATTTTTTTTGAGCCTAAGATAGATTCTTTGCCATTTTTATAGCAAAGCACAATCGGAGTCGTAGTCCTCGCACTTTTTATAGCCCCTAAAAATCTCTTTTCTTTGTAGAAAGGGCAAAACTTCCTAAATATTTGCAAATTATAAGCAGAAAACAAGGAAGCTGTTATAGAGGACATGAAAAGGTTCAAGAGAAACTTGAATCATTGTGGAAACTAGTGTGAGCTGCGTCGGTGTTTCTAACATTTGTGTAAAAAGATAAATTTAACACCGTAAAAATATAAGTAAAACAAGTTACTGACGTTTTGGAAGTTAATTCTTCGTCGAAGTAAGAGACATCTCTTTTTTACGGTGTTAAATTTGTCTTTTTATACAAACTTGAATCTTGCCTTCTTGCACAAAATGGCGTCGCTGCATACTATCTATTGCGTTACTCACCGCGTTACTTATCGCGTTACTTACTTTGTGTAGGCTGGCGATACCCAGTACGGATCTGACTTTGCTGCCTGAACAAATCAAATCAAACATATCAAATAAAGATAACAATTATGTCACGGAAGTGACACATCGAGATGTATCACACTGATGTCACGCAAGAGTTTGTAATGTTTCTTGTGATTGGAGGAATATCATAAATCCTATTGTTTCTTTTACTTAGCAAATAGCTAGTTAACCAATCGGATAAGATCTTGCAAAACAATTAAAGCGTCTGTTATGTCACAAAACGCGCGTTTTAAACTGTCATGGCTTACTTTGAGAAAACAATTGGGCGACAGTCACGCACGTTGTATAGGGTCGAATGCTAACGTAGCGTGACGCTAATAAAATGTTTAGTTTTGTCCATGACGGAACGAAGGATGTTACAAGAATATCAGTGAACGCACCTCGGCATGTTTGAGGATGGCTTCTCGTGGATGCGAGTCGTCTGCTTTCTCGAGGGCAAGATTCTTGACAACAAAGGATGATAACGACATACCAGAGGTAACGCGTCCACCCTTGCCTGGAGAAAAGAATTAGAGTCACAAAATGCATGACATTATCTCGCGCGAAGCATGACGGATTTTGTTATTGCTCTTTTTACATCAGTTCGAATAATCCTGACAATCCGTTTTCCCATTTTCTCTGAAAAATGAAAGTAGTTTTGCCTTTTCTGTAAAATAAAACTGACAAAAACTGATTGGTAGGATTATTTTGGCGAAAAAAGTAACGATGTGTACTGCATTTCCCATCATGCTTCTGCAAAATAGAGTCTGTATGTACAACTTCGTTCCTATGTTTTCTCGGCTCGTTGTTTTTCAAAATGGCGTCGCTAGTCTCCGCCATCTTGAAATGTGAGCACCGAATTACTAAATTATAACTTATATAAATTATATAAGGAAAAGCTACTCAGCTAATGTCAAGTTATATGATAGATAAGTTGAAAACTACGAAATGTTAGAAACTACTAGTTAGAAACTACGAAATGTGTTCTAAGGCACAACATAGTGATTCTGGTCTCACTTTTCAAGATGGCGGACGCATGCCATTTTCAAAATATTAACGAGTAGAGAAGGTCCTGGAAACAAGTTTATGCATATTGCTTCCTTATTACAACAATTTAACCACGTGATTGAATCATCACGTGACTGCAATAATTATTTCACTCACCAGGTCCAGTGACGGGGAGTTCTGGTCGGTGTGACTTCGTGGGATCTTTTCGTAGTTTTTCCTTAACTTTCTTCATATTTCTTGGTTGTGATTGACGGAATATCGGAAGCGCGTGAGCTGAAAAAAACATTAATACAGTGAACCCCTCTTTATTGGTCACCCCGCATTAAGCGGCCACAATCAAAAGTCCCAATTGTCAACTTTAGATATTTTGGTTCGAGTACTATGTACACAAGAACGCACAYGAGGCTCCGGGAAAACAATGGATAATCTTGATTTATTAGTCTCGTGTGCAATTCTCTTGTGCATGGTCACTGAACCAAAATATTTTCAGTCGGCTATTCTCCATTCATCCTCTAGTAGGCCTCTATTCAACAGCCAGCAAACCTTTAGGCTTTATTAAACGACCACATTGGAAAATCCCAAGATGGACCACTTCAAGATGTAGTTGAGAACTATTGAGATTGGCGCAAGCGAAATTTTCCTCTCGCCCAAATCCTTCCCAACCAACGTGGTGTAATGTAGTCATTTTGACAATATACTTACGAGTTATAATATGTTCAGGGAGTGGCATGTCTCGCTGGACCTTTTGTCGCTTCAATTTACCAACACATAGTTTTGCTCCCCTGTGAAAGAAAAAAATCATTTATCGCTGAGTTTTCCATTTTTTTTCTTTTATTTCGCAATTTCCTTGGAGCCGAAGAACGCAGAAACGATACGAAAACGTGTCGGTGTGGCTTACGGCAAAATAAATTGGATATTGAGTTTTGAACATTTTATGACTTCAAAAAAATATATTAATGGTTGATTAGGACTTACTTTGTGCTGCGTTCAGGATCAAAGTACACTTTAACCGTTCCAGAACTCGTACCAACGATAATTTGATTCAGTCTGGGATGCCACAGCGAGCTCACGACACTCTGAAAACATAATCATTATTATCATCATCCCTTAATACGCCTTGTTATTTTATTATGAAAATCACTCGTGTGAATAGAATGTAAAGCAACGTACCGCGTCTTCTACTTTGAATTGATAAACAGTTTGCAGGGTATCTCKGTCTAAAAACACAAGCTTYCCGCTATCCTAAAACACCAGATGTACCAATAAAATACACACGACATTAGAATGGAACAGAAATGTTATAAATATTGTTCAATATCATTAAATTCCACCATCGTATAATATATGAAAAGCTATCCAAACCTTAGAGGCTTTTATCACCTTTCTCGGCCTATAACATATTTCATATCATCCACATCGTCGTCCTATAATTCTTCATATCATTCACAGTACAATCCAATAATTCCTCATGTTATACCCAGTTTTCGTCCTATAATTCTTCATGTCATACTCAACCTAAACCAACATATATTTATTGATCTCTTACCTCGCCTTTCATCGTCGAGGTCCCAGTAACGATTAGCTTMTCATCGGGACTGAAGTAACAAGACGTCCTGAAAGCGACATGTACCATTATTATAACTTTTAAAAATGAGTGTTGTCAAATCATATCAAGATCATCGTCATCACCATCACAATCATCATCACCATCACCATCAAGGCCATCATAATAATCCACTTCAGAATCTTTGGAATGAAGGATATGTTAAAGCTGTGATATGAGTGGTAATGATTGTTATTTAGRGAAGATTATAATGGACTAATATTTGTTATAATTATTTATAATAATAATCGGATGCTACATATAAAGATAAAATGTAGTACGACTATTGCTGCTTCTCCTTCTACAATTGTTATTTCCACTTCTGCTAGAGTGCATGTCACATAAGCATGAAACAATTCTTAACTATGWAGTGCTAAATAAGATTTASYTATCAACTAACTAAGAATTGAGAACAATGCTACAAAGGAATTTAAATAATTGGCATTGTGTTTATGCTTTGTTGAATYCTTAGTTAGKTGAWAACTAAWTCTTATTTAGCAATACATATTAAGAATTGTTTCATGCTTATGTGACGTGCACTCTATTACTACTGTTTATACACTGATTTTACTACAACTGTTACATTCTACTGCTTCTGGTGGTACTACTAATAGGCTTACTGCTACCTCTACCACGAATTMCTTCTGTAACTGCATGCTACTAATGCAGCCTCCACTGCTACTGTTGTTGCAGCTAATTGCTCTTCTGCAACTGCTGTTGTTGCTGCTGCTATTATGCTTATAATGATTATGGTGATAATAATAATAATAATAATATAATCATAATAATATCATTAATGATATAGCCAAAATATACTAATATTAATGATGATAATGATCGTAATGTATTGAATGCAAAAAAATGCATGTTGTTTTGCTACTCCCTCCAATCACAACATCAAACTACTATTTTCACACTACTAAAATAATTCTCGGATAAAAGAGTCGGCTCTCTCGGGACCATTCGCACTGATCATTCTGCATTTCGCGGCCATGCTTCATAATATCCATATTAAAGCTACACAATTTTGTGGAATTTCTCTTCCAACCCGACCGCAGGGCTAACTACGTCCGACCCTCCGTCCTCCCATTCAGCAACGCACTCTTAAGCTCCATCTCGTGCATCTCCATGCTTCTCGCTCAGGGCCTCGGACAAATCTCATTTCCCCATACCTTACTCTTTCCGAGTCTATGAGTGAACATTTAGTTGTGAAAATGGTTTACAATTGTAGTCCTTACTGACGGGTTTGCGCTTACTGAAATGGTTTTATTTCTCCTTCAGTTTCAAACAAATCTGTGAGAAAGCCTTCGTCATGCTTCGCCGAAAGTCATCGCTGTTAATCAACCTGTTTCTCATGATGTTGTCCGCTGGTCTTCCAGAGTTAAAAAGCATAACAGACGTCGCTTATCTACAAAAGACACTACATCTCAACGAAACAGAAGAAAAAGCCATTGAAAATTTCAATAAAAAGATTATCTATGCGTGGAATAATAGTTACAAAGTCAGCGTTAATTGGGCATTCCATAACAAGTTGCGTGACTAAAACATTACGTCATCTTTTACCTGGGTGACAGTGATGTCATGATGGCGTCATAAAACAACATTGGGTACTTYATGACAGTGATGTCATATATGACGTCACACGTCATTGTTGATTGCTTGGAAGAAGTGATGACATAAGCGAATACCTTGAACARGTCAAGTCAAAATACTTTCTGCTTCATGTTGACAGCGATGCAATAGTTTGAAACTACGTCACTACAACAAATGATGCTTGGTTGCTAGGAGACAGTGATGTCATAATTACTTCAATTAACACCGACAAAGGCTACGAAGTAACTATGTAATAGTCTGAGAAGCTTCATGTTGAATTCGGTCACTGAATCAATGTTATAATTACAACAATGACTGTAAATAGACCTTTCTTCAAAATTCTCTCATTAGCTTAAATTATTTTTAACGTGAAACAAGATCAACTCTGAAATATGAAAGTGCATGCTTCTCTCARAAGCTGTGTGAAAACATTGTTCCAATTGCTGTTTCCTGTTCCTATTGCTAGAATTACCTAGAATTACCGTCGCAGCGTCCAAGTGAAGCATATACTTTCTTCACTTAGACGAGATATACCAAGGGAGTATTCCAAGATAGAAATGCATTGTTTGTGGTTGAATCACTTCTAAAGGGGATGGTTGTTTAGGATTGAAAATGCCATCTCTATACTTTCAATGGAAAGCAAGTTTACAATTGTCACTTTGCAACCGGAATAGCAATAGCAAAAAATGCATTTTGGTCTTGGCATTTGAGTCCTCGGTAATCAACGTGTTTTTTTATAGCTGAATACGGCTTGAATACTGCATAAAATGCTAAAACCATAAAAAACTGTTAAAACAAAGTAGTAAAATGGTGGAACATAGTGTTGATTAGAAAATTAAAAAAAAGGAATTCCCAAAATTTAGTAGAACTTAGAGTGAGGTCAAAAAAATTGTGAAATTGGTCTATTACAAGTGTGATAGTGATTTAGACACAAAAGAAAACAATTCACTTAGAGCGCACTAAAGTGTTGAGTATAAGAACTATTCCACGGTTTTTTACTTGTCTTACACCATTGTATTAGAGTACCATTTCATGGTTTTTCTGTGCAGTTTATGAATAGCGCGTTTTAAATTTCATTATAGGCAAAATTCGAATCAGTATTGTGGTTGCTAATATTAATGTTAAACATGATGCTTTTGTTTAATGTTTTAATGGATTCTACTTCTAAGTGTTAGAGCCTATTCTGCCATATARTCTCCTTCAYGGTTCCCTGCGCCATCTTGAAAGGTAGCCGTGCCTTTACATCGAAGCGAGACAGCCTTTGAGCGTGCAATGATAGAAACCTGTGAATAATTGTCTGTAGGTGTTAAAGAAGGTTTCTATCATTGCACGCTCAGCGGTCGTCTCGCTTCGATGCAAAGGCAYGGCTACCTTTMAAGATGGCGCAGGKAACCGTGAAGAARACTACTGATTCTTTCATCATAACCATGATGCACTTCGGKAAAGCAAGCATGACGTCATTAGKTGAAATGAGTGCAGCATTGCACTATCCTGTATGCAGTATTCAATCTTCATTTTTTCTCAATTTATCCCGTTTACTCGGGCTTTCATAAATTAAACTAGCMAAGTGAACGATATTTTTGCGTGCATTTTGAATTCGGATTAACATAGGAACYTAAAATTAACAAATTTCAAAATAATTTGTTATACATATATATATATAGTTTTTGGCAATAAAGTGTAAATATGTTTTTTACTTTTGTATTGGGTAGTTATCACGGTATGGGCGGTGAAGATGGCATGTTTGTGGTTATATAGCTGAATAATTCGGTGGTAATTGATTAGAATAGATATCTGGTGCATCATTCCCATAACGTAACTCTTAAACGTATAGTAATTTACGTAATGCATAAAATGAATATTTTCTAGATCTCAAAGCATAAAACAAGAATTATTTAATACCTTCCTTGGGTAGCTTTCCTTTTTTCTATTTTCCGTTTGAATAGCGTGCTGAAACGTTATGAAACGGAACAATTGAACGTAAAGTATTTGTTGAAATGTAACGTACTACTACGTAATGGAATTACGTTGTATGAAACTTTGTCCCCTAAAGTTGTTACGTAGCGAATGTGCTGTCTCGTTAGGTAATGGGACGTAACGTAAAATAATAGAATGGAACGTGATGTAATAGGAAAATATAATATAACTTACTAGAGAGCATGCTAAAATGAAACGTATTGCGGTATACGCAGCGTATAATTTAACGTAATAACTTACGTAAAGACGCAAAAAAAATAGCGTAACGCACCACACTTATTAGCCTAACGATGTTAAAGTGTAGTCACCTTACGTCGTCTTTTCAATTTCTTCTCTATAGCTTTTCCACATCGATTTTGGTCACTTCCTTGGGAATTTCAAAAGTAAGTTTGGGATCCGACGTGAACGCGTTCCGGTGGTGTTAACGGATNTCTGCATAACCTTATAAAATTCATACTCACTGGGTATAACGATTTGAGAGGTCGTTGGCAACATTAACAGGCTTTTTAAAATTTCTTAAATCCCATAATTTTACTGTATCGTCACCTAGCAACGTAAGCAAAACATGATTAGATTTCCCAAGCATCCAAATATATGGACGATAGTATTGATCGTTTTCAATCATTCTCATGAGATTCAAAAGATAAACGACCGACGGCCAGGTTGGAGGAATGAACAATAAATACTAATGAAAAATACTTTGTTGAAGTTCCTTCAAGACGGCCGCTGTGACGTAACTTGAAAACGAAGAATATTAAAGTACCGACACTGGTGAAAAACGCACTGCGCATGTCCACTGTTCCCGCTGAAATCTGCCTAATTTCCTTTGTAAAGCRATTTTTGTGAAAGTTTTTTACAATTTATAAGCTCGTTCAACGATATATAAGATTCATATTTCCATCAATCATAGTTCATGATAGGTCCGTTTAGTATGTAGTTTCTATTTTTATCTTGTCATTTCTATCTTGAGAAAATTAGGTTTTTCGTAGTGTTTTCTGTGTTGTCGCTGTAAATCGCCAGGCGCTCTGTTTACAGATTTCAAGACGCGAGCGCCCACTGGCGGGAAAGCTGTGGACATGCGCAGTGCGTTTTTCACCAGTGTCTAAAGTACCTCCTCTAGACACAATGGAGTTCCCAGCATGTGAGAAGTCAATACACGATGTCTCGCTACCGTAAGCATGGGCGTCTCTTTGAAGCATCGTAGTGTTCACCTGATAGAAATACATTGTCGATGAAAGGGTCATAATCAACCGGCATACCTTGCGAACTTTTGTTCGTGATATAATGAAACTTTCATTATAAAAAAACTACACTAGTAAAAATGGTCGTCTCGCTAAAGCAACGTAGTGTTCACATGACAGAAAAACCGCATTCGTTTTCGAAAAGGGTTCATAATCAACCGACATCCATTGCAAAGTTTTATTTTTGAAAATATATCGTGATATATGCAAATGTTATATTACTTCATGTTTTGCTCCGTCGCTGCAATCAAAACTCTCTAAGTTTAACCTTAACTTGGTCTCAAAAAGAAATAAACACATACGTGTTCTGTGATCCGCTAGTATGATACAATCTGTCTTACAAGAAGGAACTGTACTTACAAACATCCGTTTTGTGTCCCATATCTGTATAGACCCGTCCTACAAGATGAAAAAAGAAATGTTCAACAATACTGTCATTTGCTTTGAATACAGGATGTTAGGGGGAGGNGTTAAGAAAAAAATGAGCACATGTAGCTTGATGGGAGCATGTAAGGTGACTTAAGGCAACTTTCTGGCCCAGAGTAGGTGTATTTCAATCAGTGTTTTATTATCGTAATCATTACCTGACATGCGCCAACAATGTACTTGCCATCCCGACTGTAACAGCAATAAGTTGGGATAGTCTTTTTGCCTGAAATTTAAGAAAAACACATATGATATAATTTCTGCATGTTAGTTCGATTAAGGAACAAGCCGGTCAAAATGAGAATCTGTTCACTCCAAAAAAGATACATTGTATCATTGACAACTGCTGCCCAGAGTAATTATGGGAACTTTAAACGAACCTCCTTTGTTCTTTGTTTTAATGGCCTTTTTGTTCTTCTTTGGATCGTTGATGTCCCATAATCTAAGAGTACTGAGATAAGATTGTATTGTCGATATTAGTGGAACCACTATRCCMGGGCAGCAATGAGGTATATAGGTTCATCAATCAGCGATATTTTTGGGCTCGTGAATCACATTTTCGTTAACAAAACCGTGAGCAACTAAAATACTTAGAAAATGTTTGTGGTCAAGTGGTATAAACATTTTTATAATAGTTGTGTAAAAGACTCATTTCGTGCTTTGAAAATTAAATTTTTATAGTCACAAAAATGCTTCAAGCATTAAACTTATATTTAGCTATTATGGTATCATTTAAGCGAGTTTTAGCTCTAATACTGTACTCAAATACTGTAATCCTACCCATCATCACTGCAAGTAAGAAACTCTTCTTTTACTTTAGGATGCCATCGTCCACAGTGCAGCATTGCTACATGACCCTGAAAAATAAAACAAAAGTGATGTCAGGGCAGAGGCCATTTCCGATATAGCAGTTTGCATAGCATTGTGGTCTAGATATTGGTACAAACATCTTTTATTAATGATGCCAAATACGGTAAATTGTTTTACACTTGAGATTTTTGCAGCGCGATTGTCGCGTGATAATCGCCACTAGAGACCTTGAGACTAGAGACTGTTCTCGCGCACCTCAAATCGTACGCGTAAATCGCCGCGAGTTGTAGCTAAATTTCAAGCATGTTCGAAACTCGGGCGATGGTCGCGCGACTGTCGCGCTTCGAAAATCGCAAGTGTAAAGAAATTAGCAAGAAATTAACGTACAGTTTAAGCAAAAAAAGAATTTATAAATCAAAAATATGCCATTCTGGAAAATGAAAGCCATTAAAAACAGCGTTTGAACTCCAAGACTTCAACAGTCAATAAATGAGTAGTTCACCTGTACATTATAATGAATGATTGTACTTTTATAGTTTCTATTGTGTTTTTCAACTAATCAAAATGAGTGGTCTAGTAACGTTATGGCTTACCTTGGTAATGGCCATATCAGCAAGATACTGGTCACCCTTGATGCATTCCATGACCTCAAACCCATCTCTGTCCARGACTTTAGCCTGGAGAATTCAGCAAAAACAAGATTTTACTGCTTTGAGAATAATTTGAAAGAAAGCATCAACTGAGAACAATATTGGACTTTACTCTGACAAAATATATATGAACATATTGTACAGCTGTAATATGTTATTCAGAAAGAATTTATATGTTTTGGTAACTGCAAGTCTGGGCTATACATACAGTATAAAGCCTGATTTGCACCAATAAAACAAGAGCAAGAACAGAAGCAAGCACAAATGCATAATATCAATAGTCTCCTTCACGGTTACCTGYGCCATCTTGAAAGGTAGCCGTGCCTTTACATCGAAGCGAGACAACTGTTGAGCRTGCAATGATAGAWACCTGTGAATAATTGTCTGTAGGTGTGAAAGAAGGTTTCTATCATTGCACGCTCAACGGCTGTCTCGCTTCGATGCAAAGGCACGGCTACCTTTCAAGATGGCTCAGGGAACCGTGAAGGAGACTATTTACAATCATTAGTATATTAACCTGTGCATTTCCAGCAGTAACCAAGATCATATCTCCAGTAATACTGTACTGTGCTGATTTTATCTGGTGACATTCAAAAGGCTGCAATGTTCTAAATG